TGTATGGGGTTGTGATTCTACAGTGTAACCGTCGTCTCTCTCTCTCTGTCTTCGTCTCTCCTTCAGATCTGATGTACCTCGGGGGCTACAGGCCTGTTCTGGAGCCCCTCCCCCACCACACCTCCACCAGCAACATCAACCTGGAGGAGCAGGGGGCCGAGAACCGGGACGGCCAGAGTCCTAAACATCCCCGCCGCGGACCACTCATTGTGTAACACGCTCACACAAACACACACACACACACACGCACACACACACACAAACTCTACCCGTCCAGAGTGAGCTCTTCTTACCCTGCCATAGTGCTGCACCGCCGGATGCCGTCCTCGCTGACCAGGGAAACACATCCCCACCTACATCTCCTGGACTGATTGTCTGTGTTGGCGCTTCAGAGGAAGAATGAGGACTCACCCCTCCATCGTCTGTGCACTTTGATCTCACAGGACTTTCCTTGTTTTCTTGTCTGTGACCTAATCTTGTCGTGGGAATGATTAGCCTACTGCTACGTTATTATTTATTACCTGTAGGTTTAACGAGAGCTGTGTATTGTGACACTATCTTTAGAAAAAAATACATGCTGCTCCTCTTCTCTCCTCTTTTATCCCTCCTATTACCAGCCAAACAGTCAGGGGCTACTGTGATCGGCAATCGGATTTATTACTAGCGTTCTTCTTCTTCTTCTTCTTCTTCTTCTTCTTCTTCTTCTCTGTTATAAACTGTTTGTCGAATGAGTGGTGGGACACTTTGACACTAAAAGTCAGCTCACACCGGACTACCTTACCTTACCGAACTGAAACACGCCGACCCTTCAGGGAGCTCCCGCCTCGCATGCAGCTTTCCTCTCATTCCCGCCACGCTTTCCAAACATCTGCTGAATGTGAATTCAGAGGCGGTCGGACTTGTACGGTGGTGGACGAGCCGAGAAACGGTGGCCAAAATAAACAGAGATGAACTTTAAAAAAAAAACAAACAAACAAAAAAAATGACGTCAAACAGAATGTAGGACGCTGAACGTGGAACTCTAGACTAGAAGGGGAATGTACATCTGAATCATCACCGAAAACTGGAATTAAACTGACCCTCACACGCCCGCCGTCGCCATCCTCTCCTCCTACAGCTTCATCTTAGCATGTCAGTATTATCGTAGTGCAACTGGAAATCAACAGATACCACCGAGCAATAAAGAAAACTGCATCTCCTCCTCTTCTCCTGCACTAGGACGCTCTCCTGCGGTTCAAACGATGACAAACTGTGTTTGCACTGGACTGCTAATGTTCAGATTCAGACATGCCAGTGTGTTTTGTTTTTTTTATTTTCACGTTGCCATGGTAAAGGGATTTTATGGTGAGGGAAAAGCGGTGAATCTGGACAGACTTACACACCGTCAGCTGGCATTTTGTTCGTCCTCACGTCCCCCCTGTTCTGATCGTCCCGATGAGCCCTTTTCCTTCTCGTTTGTGAAGCTTTTAGTTGTTTTGGTTTCGTATAACTCTTAACGTGTATCTCACCCGTTGTCGGCGTTTTTCCTCCGTTTCTTCGTGTTTTTAATTCGTTGCAGAACACTGTGTTGTTTATTAGAATGTGGATGAAAATATGTGAACATTTTGTAAAGGTTTACACACTCGCGCAGACACGCGTGGCTCACATTACGGATACACCGAAAAGGGACGATATCGACATTTAATGCACTATTAGCTGATTCCTAGACGGTGCATGAGGCGATAGTAGAGTAAGCATGTTAGTCTAGGTCAGCCTGCACCCTCCTGTAAACTTGATGACGGATCACCACACACACACACACACACACACACACACACATAAAGCAGTATCATATCGTTCTGTAGTGTTATATATCGGTTGCTGGCACCCTATTCCACTGACCCAACTGTTAAGGTCGAAACTACTGCACTACTATACCCAAGCTGCAAACTGTCATGTGATCACAGTCCGAATGTGTCAATGAAGCCGCCAGTCGCAGTATGATATCAAAGGAATGGGTCCCCAATCCACAAGACCCCACTTTTCTAGAGTGAAAATGTCAAAGAAGACTTCAAACAGACAATAAAGTTTTTGCAACTAAACGGCCTCCGACTGATTTCCTGTTGATTTAAATGAGAAAGAGTCGTTCGTCAGGGCTGGGTTGTGTTCTGCTTCACCCAGACCTCTCCTAACATGGTCACCGTCACAGAAACTCTCGGTTCATTTTTCAAACGTTGGAATGCTTTGTTTTCCCCGCAGAGAGTTCAGAGACGTCGGTGAAAAGTTCTCGGGACTGAAAACCCAGCGCTGTTCCCACACAAGTTTATTTTATTTCGATAGCAAAGTATTTACGCTATATGTCTGATATCTTCTTACAAACAGCCAAATCGGCCTTTCATTCATGTTTTGCATTTTTGTCCTGCTTTTATTTCCACAAAATCAAGAATTTAATCCTAAAAAAGAAGAAAAAAAACAAAACAAAGCAAAACCAAAAATCAAAAGAACACCTCTCACTTCTGACAAGGTTTACCGCAACTTTAAATATGTTTTTATTTAAAACTGCCAAAAAATAGAATATTTAGGTGAATCATTATCAAATCTTTTGTGAAGTCATGTTTTATTCACAATGTTTTGTCACGTATATCCACATCACTGCATGCCTGAACATTGCTGCGAACATCTGGAATAACTGGTACGTGAGTCAAT